AAGGGTCTAGGCCCGAAACGTCAGCCTCTCTGCTCCTATGATGCTGCTTGGCCTGCTGTGTTCATCCAGCCCTGCACCTTGTTGTCTCGGATTCTCCAGCATCTGCAGTTCCTACTATCTCAGCATTGGTATCAATTTAGTTTCCTGAAACAGTGATTGCATAAATCAGGACAGAGTTGCCACATAGAGTCAAGTAGGACAGAAGGGAACATAAATTCAAATGAATCAAAACCAGAGTTTACACATTAATCAAAAAGCGGAATATTCTGGATCCTGGAACAAAATAAGAACCAAATTTGCTGAAAATACTTCATCAGTCAGGCAGCATCTGTGGAGAGAAAAAGTTAACATTTTAGGTCAATTACCTCTCATCAGCACTGTGAAAAGTTAGGATAGGATTTGAGCAAAGATCGGCAGGACAAAGATAAATTAAGGAATGTCTGTGATAGGGTGGAAGACGGAAAGATTAATTATTAAAATAATTAGTTTTCAACAGGGCCAAAAGAGAGAGGAAATGAAGCAAGAAAATTAAGGAACAGGGAAACAAAAACCATGCTTAGAATAGGTGTGCTGCTGCCTGAAACAAAAATAAGAGAAAAACTAAAACACGGAGAGGCAACACAATGTGTGGGACAGCGTTTACACCTTTCATTGTTTCTTTATTGTTTCTACATTGGTCTCCTTCCTTCCATGCTACTACCTCTAAAAGTGCTGTCTTCTGCTGTGCTATCTTTGGTACTCCTTTAAGCCCATTCTGTTGCTGGTATTCTTTACTAATTAGCTTGTTGCTGACATGTCTCTGCTTCATTCTCCATTGGGAAACATGAGGATGTTTTAAAATTTTCATATCTTGCAGGGATGAAGGTCGAAGTGGTGGAATGTTCAGGTGGTTTGTAGAAGGGCTGGAAAAGGTGTTACCACAACCAGAAGGAAAATCTAAACCAACCAATCTCAATATGGCAGCAGCTGAGGCGGCCATTGCTCCCCAGGAAGAAAAGGAGGTCGGTACATTCCATGTCTTTTCATTGCTTCTTTAACTGGAACTGATTCTACACTGAAAGGAAAACATGCTGCCATATGATGCATGCTGTTGAAGACAAAGCACAGCTTCATATATATAGTACAAATAAATCTAGCTATCTCATTGTCCCAGGAGCGATTAAAAACTCAAGGATATAGAAATATAATGTTAACAATTAATTCTCCAAACTAACTTTAAGGAAATAGCAAAGATGATTGGCAAGATAATTCCAAGTTTTAAATCAATGTGTTGTAAAGGTGGACTCGTCCACTTCTGACTAGAAAAATAAGATAAACTTGCATTTATAGAATGCCTTCCACAACCTCAAAATACCCGAAAGGTCTTTATAGTTACTGAAGTACTTTTGCAGTATAATGTTCACCAGGAGAATCCCTTATTCTTCTTTAGAAGTGTGCCATTGAAAATCCTTTTTAGCACCTGAGAGGGCAATCAGGTTTAACTAAGCTTACTGTCTCTTCCATAAGACAGCATCTCCCTTGATACCACACCGAAGTGTCACAGGAGTGGATATGTGCTCAGTTCTCTAGAGTATGGCTTATATGAACAGCTCTGGCTCAGAAGCGAGGGTGGCACTGCTGAGTGACTGAGATTGTTTGTTAAATATGGGCTCAGGATACAAGTATGTAAAATCATACATAAGAATGTTGTTCAAATAATTAATTCCAGATTTTTAAAAATTGAATTCAAACATTTGCCATGGCAGTTTTTAACCATGGGTCCTCGGAACATTAACTGGGACTTTAGATTAATAGCCTAGCAACAACACTATGGGTCATTGCTCCCCTTCATCATGACCTTTGGCTAACTGAACACCCATCGTTCTTCTCTTTTTTGACTGAGGCTTTTCTTCTGTTTCAGTCTTCTTCCTGTGCACTGTACTGCTAAGAGTTATGTTTTATTAACCTTTGCTAGTCACTAGTCCTGGGCATGATCAGAAATATCCTTAACTCTAATTGGCTTACCAATGCATGAATATTACTTGACCCATCTCAGATTGGCTAGATAGTGTGGGCATAATCCTTAATTTGATTCTCTACAAGTGATGATCATCTTACTGATATCACTTCCTATGATATCCTGACTTGTTCCCTGAGATGGCGTCACTTCTGGGATCATCTGTTTTATTCCTTACTAAATTTATCCATCACCACAAGATAATGATGTACCAGCAGAGTAATTTGTTGCCTGCTTAGAGGACACGTAATATTGCATCCAAATGATTAATATCATCCCAAATGAATAACTGATTCATCTAAATGTTCTGGAGAATCCAAAAGCCTATCAGTATCTTTTAGTTAAAAATGACATGTGTGCCTCCACAATAATTGTTGATACCTGAAAAAAGTTAACTAAAGTCATTTTCTCCAAAAGAAACAGGAGTCAAATTAGTGAGAATAACACCTGATAACATCTGTTTCAGTAACTGAAAAGGTACCATTACAAAACAAAGTAAAATTCATAAAGCTCAAAATGGCCATACAAGGCTCGTACATGTAGGCCTGTTACATACTTTAAATCACAAATATCAACCAATTCAAAAACACAGAGCACTGGGCCATTAAAAAAGAACCAATAAATGGTAAGGCCATGGCCTTATTTTCAACCTGGACCAAATGGTTATTCTGCCATAGTGAAAATGTTTCACAATCAACTGAATTAAATAAAATTTAATACCTCACTTGCTTGATAAGGTCAAAATTATTGAAAAGTAACTCAATCCGACACACCGTTGGGCCTCAACTCCACCTCCTGAGTACCCAGTCCTGGATTCTTGGACTTATCTCAAGGTACTGCTTGTATTTCTAATCCTGTCCACTGCAGTTTTTGATACTGCTGATATTAGAGAGCTGTTGGCCGATAGAAGTGGGATTTGTGCCTGGTCAAGGGATGGATGTCCCTTACCTAGCAATTAAAGCTTATTGGATGGTTGAATAGCAATGGGCAGTCAGCATTGGTGGCAATGCATTCATTATCCCACTTTTCAGGTGACAGGCTGGGAAATGCCACCAACTAAAATTTTAAAAAATCATAAACCTTTCTGATGACTGTGAAAATAAAAGTTTTATTTCCTGCTGTTACAGGAACCTGCAAAACCACAGACAGAACAATCCATTGCTGAAACAAGTGAGTCATGGAGGTGAATGATAATGGCTAGAATAAAATTATCACCTTTTTTTATTCATTCACATGATTTGGGTCATTCCTGGAAGGCAAACATTTTATTACCAATCCCTAAATTCCTCTTAGATATTGGTGGTCATAGAGTCATAGACTTATACAGCACAGAAACAGACCCTTCAGTCCAACTCATCCATGCTGACCAGATATTCTAAACTGATCTAGTTCCATTTGCCAGCATTTGGCCCACATCCTTATAAATCCTTCCTATTCATGTACCCATCCAGATGCCTTTTAAATGTTATAATTGTACTGACCTCCACCACATCCTCTGGCAGGTCGTCTCCATAGGAGGGAGACCAGATTTGAATGCAGTGTTCTGCGGCAGCTGCAGTCTCTACTTCTGCTATGTTGTAGGAACACCCAATGTGCTATTAGATAAGGAATTTCAGGTTTCTGACCTAATGGCAGTGAAGGATCAGCAATGTCTGTCCAAGATACAATGGTTTATGTGCTGTTGGGGAGCTTGTGGTGGTGATGTTCCCTTGTGTCTGCTGTCTTTATTCTTCTAAATGGTGTAGTTTGGTGGATTGGTGGGTGTTGTTGAGGAAGCCTTGGTGAGTTGCTGTGTTGAATCTTGTAGACGGTACACTCTGTAGCCATGCTGTGAGAGGATAACTGAGTGAATGTGTAAGGTGTTGAACGTATGCCAGTTTCCTACCTGCTTTGGTGTGAATATTGCTGAACTCCTTGAGTTTTGTTTGAAACATACTCATCCATGCATGAAGAGACTATTCATCAAATTCCTGACATGTGGCCTATAGGTGCTGAAAAGGCTTTGGGAAACCAGGAATAATTCAATCACAAAAAGTATCAAGTCTCTTAACTTCTCTTATATCCACAATATTTACGTGACTAAAAATGTTAAGATTTCGATTAAGGTAAACCTCCAGAATGCTTGTTTATTTGGTAAAGGCTTAAAATTCCACCAGGACACATCATCAATTGGCATGACTTGCTCAGGTTATTGCATGGAAATTGGGAAAAATGCCAAGAAGTCCATGCTCTTCATATGAGCAATAGTCTTTATGTCTGACCTGTTTTCGTAGTCCAGTAGTCCTACTTTCCTTTGTCTAGGAGTGATTTGAAAGGATAGCTTTCCTACCCTCAAGGGCATGAGTCTGTCAGTTGTGTTTTCATCATAATTCTATGGCTTCATGGTCACTTTCATTTTACAGAACTTTTCAAATCTTTCCTTGTATTTTTATTTTGCTGTACCAGAGCATCCTAGTGAATCTATACCACATCATCTCTGTACCTTTAACAGGTCTCCAACACAAATCACAAGAAACAACTGTGGTCTTACTAAGGAGGTTGATTAACTGACCATCAAATACTTCCGGATGGTCACACTTCAATAGGATGGATGTTGTTAAACTTGAGAGGGAGCAGGAAAGATTTACAAGGATGTTGCCAGGGTTGGAATCCATAGAATCCTTACAGTGTGGGAACAGGCCACTGGGCCCAACATCAACCATCCAAAGAGCATCCAATCCAGACTCATCCCTGTAACGTATTCCAGTAATTCTTCCTGTAGGCCTGCATTTCCCATGGCTAACACACCTACCTACACATCCCTGAACACTATGGATAATTTAGCCTGTCCAATCCACCTAATGTGCACATCTTTGGACTGTGGGAGGAAACCGAAGTACCTGTGGAAACCATGCAGACATAGGGAGAATGTGGAAACTCCACACAGACAGTCGCCTGAGGGTGGAATCGAACCTGGGTCCCTGGCGCTGTGAGGCAGCAGTGCGAGCCACTGAGCCATCGTGCTGCCCAAAGTTGGAGGGTTTGAGTTATAGGGAGAGGCTGAATAGGCTGGGGCTTTTTTCCCTGGAACATCGGAGGCTGAGGGGTGACCTTGTAGAAGTTTATAAAATCATGAAGGAGATGGATAGGGTGAATAGCCAAGGTCTTTTTCCTAGAGTTGATGAGTCCAAAACTAGAACGCATAGGTTTAAGGTGAGAGGAGAGAGATTTAGAAAGGACCTGAAGGGTAACTTTTTAATGCCACAGGGTGGTGCGTATATGGAATGAGCTGCCAGACGAATTGATGGAAGCAGGTGCAATTACAACATTTAAAAGTCATCTGAATGGGTATATGAATAGGAAGGGTTTAGAGGGATATGGACCAAATGCTGGCAAATGGGACTAGGTTAGATTGAGATGTCTGGTCAGCATGGACAAGTTGGACCAAAGGGTCTGTTTCTGGCTATGATTCTGTGAGTCAGGTGGGGACCTCATTAACATGTGTAAGTTGAGGCTTTGTTACACAGTTGGGAGCTTAGTGTGATTTAAATTCCTGATCATGGGATCATGCACATTGTCAGATCACTCTGCAGCAAAATAAGAAACTCTGAAGATAGATTGGAGGATTTGAGACCAGTCCTTACAGCAGAGAATGCTAAGGGGAGATTTGAAAGAAGTTTTCAAAATCATGAGGGGGCTGGATAAAATAGATGGGGAGCAATTGTTCCCTGTCATAAAACAACCAAGAATGAGAGGGCACAAATATAAAGTATTCTGCAAAAGAAGCAAAAGTGATGTGAGAGGAAGCTTTTTTTACATAACCAGCAATTACAGTCTGCAACACATTGCCTGGAAGTACAGGTGGAGGCAGGTTCCATTTGATAATTTAAACAGAAGAAATTTTCAGAGTTATACAGCAAAGGCAGAGAATAGCACTGAGTCATAATCAACAATCTTTCCAAGTGAAGTCTCACACACATCGATCGGCATGCCAATTATGGCTTCTGCATCTGGAAGTCACTGCCACATACAGATCTTGGAGGTCTGCGCAGCAGCAAAAAATGTTAGAGGGAATGTTAGTCATAATGCTCATTCAGCTAGTTGGTACAAACAAAAGTGCAGCCAGCAGGAAATCCTGCCTCTGCGCATAACAATTTAGTGAATTCTGAGGTAGCTCTGTAATTTAGGCTTTTTTCACTTTCCTTGTGGATCAGGACATTCTGTGTCATGCCCCATAAGTAAACTTCAGGCCTCCCCTGTCCTAGACTTCCCACCATCTTCTCTGAACACCCTCATGCTGCTGAAATTTCCACTCAAGTCTGCATGCCAGGTCACATTTCCTGCTGCCTTTGAGTAGGGGTCCAACATTGAATATGGAAACAAGTCTCTCAGATTGTGATGGTGGCTTTCTACTCAGCTGGTTCCAGCATACTGCACTTCTACTGATTTAGATCCGGGGTTACAAGTTCTCATTACAACATTATATTCTATTCTTTCCATAAAACACAGTATTTAACAACATTTTCGTGACCTTATTGGTTTGAAGTGCTGCTTTAATGAGGCTGGAGTCTCAAGTCTCTCTGTTCATTCACATTCCCCATTCAAAATATAATAATTAAATTTCTCTTGGGAGTATGGCATGGATTTGGACAAAGTGAACTTGGAAACATTATAAATAAAGAAAAGTGAAATCTCAGCAGCACAGATTCTTTTTTGATAGTTGGGATGAAGGGAAAGCTGAGAAGTAGGATATCAAATCTTGGTGCCATTTAGTTGCTGGATGAAATAAATTTGCCAAGTTCAGCTTTATTAAGAATTGTGCACTTATGATTTATTGTTAGTTCATGTTTTCTACTTCTCCATTAAGTTTAATATTCTAGAAAGCATTATGTAATATGTGCAAGGTTACTTAATACCAATAATATAGGCATGAGTTTTCCTCAATCTCTGCATTTGTATTTTACATATTAATATCGAAGAAACAGAGATAGAGAAAGCAGAGGAATTACAGAAAACATGAATTGGAGTGGAGAGGAATTACACAAAAGGAGACAATTGAAGAGAGAGAGAAAAGGAGGAATGAATCAGAAGAAAGTTGAAAAATACATTCTGAATTGATGAGCGTTAGTTGTTCATTTGATTTTCACAATGTCTTTGTCTTAGCTAGGTAGGTTGGGAGAGAATTAATGGTCCTCAGGCACAATTAAGTATATACAAAGAATTCCAGTTATGAAATAGTCTCGAGCAAGATTTCCGTAGGTCAGTGTTACTCAGAACTAAGGCTTTGTCTTTTAATGGCTCATAAACACTGATATAAATTGGTTAGGTCAAGTAGCCCCCCTGACCTGTATTTGATTAAGTGTTGCTTATGCTTGGAATTTGAATGTATCCTTTATTTGTCAGTGCCTGAGCCTGCGGCTAAGCCTGAGCCCGAGCCAGAGCCTGAGCCTGAGCCTGAGCCTGAGCCTGAGCCTGAGCCAAAAGCAGAAGTTGTTGTGACACCTAAAGAGGCCACTGAGCAACAGACAGAACAGACAGATACTGACTGCATTGTCAATGTCATTGAAATGCCTCACTCGTCAGCTAATGGAAGCAGGTAATAAAATACTTACATGTTTGTAAGAAATATAAAATGTAGACCATTTGAATTAATTTGTGTGTAGTAGTCTGTAACTGAAGTCACTCACAAGGGTACTGTTCTCACTAAAATCCTATGATGGCTTCCGACTAGAAACCTGCTTTCTTTCTACATTTCTTTCACCACTCTTGTTAAATCAGTAATCCAGCTTTATAGTTCAAATAGCTTTTGCTAGCGCTGTTGTACAAACAGACCATTGTCACAATTTTCCCAAAATAAAATGAAATAAAAAATCAAAGCAAAGCTGCATCGTTGCAATCCAGGTGCTAATTTCCTGTCACCAATTCTACTTCCTAATAGCTATTGCACACAAATATATGAATTCACTCATCGCTTCTCTTCCAAACAATCAGCAGTGCATGCACTCCATTTGGTATTTCCTTTGTAATAATTAGCATACCAAGGGGAAATGTTAACATGGGTGAGCATGTGGGATTGGGCAGGGGAAGTTAAACTGAAAGACTTGAACACATTGGGAAGGCAGCTCCAGTCTGGATCTTTCCAAGACATGACATACTCCCAGGAGCTGGATTGGCTTTTAAAATATGAGAATGAGATTGGTATCTCCTGCTTTGTGCATTGCAGATATTACAGTGGGAGCTGGGTTTCCCCACGCCTCCAAAAATCTGGCAACCAAAACAATGCAAGAACCACTTCAGGTGAAGATAGGTCTCTTTATGGCACTGCTTGTAGGTCAGGATGAGCAAATGTTATTCCCCTCCCCAAATCCATATAAAGACTCATGGTGCATGTTTGGATGCCAATCCACTCCTTCAGAAAAGTACAAAAGGGGGATTTCCTCAGAGAAGCACAAATTTGACACTGACCAGAAACTGAGATAATAAGCACTTAATGTAAGTGAGGTTGAAATATTAGATTTTTAAAGTTTGAGAGTGAAATAAGATGCAGCAAGATGGAGAGTTTTCGGGAAGAACTCAAAGGAAGCAGATGATTGACTGCTGTGACCTCAATGGTGAAGTAAATAGCGCAGAGTGAAATGGAATGAGGTCAGATAGAGATTTCTAGAATTGGGCAAGGATTTTGAAATCCAAGTAAAATAAAACAAAGAACTGCAGATGCTGAAGGTCTGAAATGAAAAACAGAAATTGTTGGTGAAACTCAGCAGGTCTGGCAGCATCTGTGGGATGAAAGCAAAATTAACATTTCGAAACTAGTGACTCTTCATCAGAACCAGTTCCATCACAACCTGGGGACTGCCTGTACATGATTTTGGTGATGATCTAGGTATAAGGTTTGAATTTTAATTCAAGACCCAACTGGACCTGAGTTTAGCCCGTAAAATATGATTTTCTCTTTTATTTCATTCATTGCAAAGTTGTAAATACCTATTGGTGCAAAGTAAATTTTAAGAACTAAATCAATTTTATCCCATTTTATCTCTCAATATTTTTCCCTAATGATTTTCAGTATGTTTGGTTGGATGACTCAAAGCCTGGGAAAGGTGATTCCTAAGCCTGTAGGGAGCTCTGTGCCTGTAACTACCACAGTGAAAATGGAGCAAGCACCCCAAGAAACTAAGGTATGTTCTGATGGCTCTTGACTAATATTATTCCAATTTCTCAGAGCATATTAATACTTGATTATTTGTGAGTTATTCTTTGTTTGTATTTCATGAAGGATATAATCGTTTGGGCTGTACACTTCCGTCGAAGATATGGGTTAAAAGCCAGACTACAGGATATCGTCTAAACCTGTGTAATTCCATCTGACTTTGATAAAACTTTGACTTGGCAAAATGAGGCTTACCAGACCTGCCTTTGCACTGCCCTACCAAAACACCTTAAATCCATTCTCAGATGAGCATCCCATTCTGAAGTAATATAAGTCAAGGACAACTAAAGACAAGCAATAAATGCTGGCTCATCCAACGAAACCCATATTCCCCCCAATTGAATTAAGAAAATGAACATTTTCTCCATCAAGTATCCTTGAATGTTTTACATTTGGCAATATAATGCAAATCATTTTTGTATTGCAAGTCTGAAGACACTGAAGCTGGTTTGAGACTAAATTTAATCCTGATTTCAAGCGTGCTCAGTGAACTTTATCTCATCACTATGAACTAAATTTGATTCGAAAAATGAAAGATCAGTGTTTTTATACCATTCAATCCCTGTAGTAGCAGTATGTTCCATATTTAAAGTAAAGTTGCCATAGTCTTACCAAACCATAGGGCTGCTCTCTCGTTTGAGAGAGACAGCTTTGGTGGTTTAACTCAAAGGCCACCACAGCTCAGGTGAGGGGAGAAGTTGAGAAGGAGAGTCCTTCAGCTGCTGTGGGAATTGAATCCACACAGTTGATATCACTCTGCATTGAAAACCTGCCGCCAACCAACTGTGGTAACCAACCCAATCTGTGCACTTCTTGCTCAAATGTGAATGAGGACACGTGGCACATTATGTGATCTTGCCCATCAGAAATGGGTTTCATGGTTTCTCCTTTTTGGTTTAATCTTCACCTCACTCTATTTTCTAATGAATACGTTGTGTGCTGTAAAATATATGCAGCTGATAAGCAATGTTGATCTGTGGAGTGAGTTGCAGCAGGAAATGGGATGTTGGCAACAACTGTGTATCTCATGGCCTTGGTACACATTCTAGGTTTATTGGATGTGTTACTTCACTGTACAGATTATTGTGCTCAAATTAATTTCATCATCCAATTCATTCCCTTCAAAGACTTTAAATCTGTTATGTCAGTCTTACATTTCCCTTAAAATCTGTAATTTTGCAAGTTCAAACTTAGTGTCACCTGACAACAAATTTCTGCACTTCCTTTCTTCAAACTGAGATTTTCAATGTCAAATCAAGCCATCTGTGAATTTTGAACCTGCATCACGAATTTCTGGCCCTTGGACTCCAACCGTCTGCACAATGATCTGACTGCTGTCATATATAAGTTGAGTTCTTGCATTGTGATCTGTTTCAGTGAGTTTGTAATTGATGCAGGTAGTGGATTTGATTCTGAATGCCAGTGAAGTTGTTCCTAGAATTGAAGCTAGAGTTTTGAGTTCAGTGGCGTTAGCTATTAATTCATTATATGATATCTGACAATAAAAGATACCAGATATACTAATACAGCTACTCAGCATGTTTTCCACAGCAATAGGAAATCAAAGAAGTCATTCTCAATCCCCGTTTCACCAAATCACATGGTTTATGTTCACCAATTTGAAACTTTCTTCAGTATCTATCACGTTTCTTTTCAAGGTCCCAGTGGAGGAGAAGGAATCACAACTGAATGTGACTGATGTTAAAGAGGAAGTGCCCAAAGCTGTAACCATTATAGAAGGTATTACCATCAATCTGTAGTTAACCATAGTTTACAGGGACCATAGACGTCTCTCTCTGTTAGAGACACAAAGAGAGTCATGTGGTTCTAGCTTTAGGGCCATCATATTGCATCCAACACAGAAACAGGAATCTCTCTGATTTATACCGCTTGCCATGGGTGCATTGGAAAGATTAGCAATTTGAATATCAACCTATTTGATCATTTCATGTACATTCTAGCAAGTCCTAGAATAATGCTCGAATCTGGAGGTTCTAACTCAGAGGCAGGGTCCTTGTCTACTGAGCCACAAGACTCAGCTATGTCACGTAAATTAACAAACACATCAATTTTATTGAAGGAAAGTGGACTTGAGGATTATCAAATCAATCATGATTTCATTGAATGATGGAATTAACTCAACAGTCTACTACTGTTCTTGTATCTTATGATCTTGTGGCCTTAAGTATATAAATTATTGGGAACTTGCCAGGTATCAAATGCAGTCCCATGCATTACAATCTTAGCTAGTAAAAAGTCACCATAGTCCCAGAAGACACTTGTCTCATCAGAGAGAGACAACTGGTGGTTGTTTAACCTGAAGGTGACCATACCTCAGGTGAGGGAGAGTTTGAAAAGGCAGGACCTTCAACCTTAGCTGGTGCAGGAGTTCAACCTGTGCTGTTGTCATCACTACATCCCAAACCAGCCATCCGGGTAACCAAACCCTGCTATTTCATAATATCTGTAGTACTGTTGTAACAGTTTTTGATCTGATCTAATTCATGATATCATCATGCCTATATATTGGTATTTATTTGCTGATTTTCCCAGTTGTTCCAGCTGATCCAAACCCAGATTCTAGAGTGAAGGAAGAGAAGCAGCCAGCGGGAGAGCCGATCACCAAGACCAGGTATGAATATTGAGAAATAAAGAGGGTATGGAAGTTCTGTCCTCATCGCTGATTAGAAAGCTAGATGGGGGACCTTTCACCTGCTGATTAATCAGCCATTTTCCCTTTCAGTCACTGTGGATGATTTTATTCTGTTGCTTTTGCACCAAATGTGTTTCAGAACAGACTTCCATTAAATTTCCACTTAATTTGGTTCCCACTTTATTTTCTGGTAAAAGATATTGGACATGATGAAACTGGGGTGATGGGCGGGAGATGAACGAAAGAGGTACAACAGTTACGTTGTATTTATCAGAAGATATTGAGAACATATAAAAAAAGGCAGTACATTATTCAAAGGTGACTTTAATCTTCATATAGATTGAGAAAATCAAATTGGCAGAGGAAGCCACAAAGAATAATTCATATAGTATATTCAAGACAGTTTCCTCGATCTATATTGTAGATCAGGCTATATTGGATCTGGTAATGTGTAATGAGGCAGGTTTAATAAATTATCTCATAGTTAAAGATCACTTAGGAAAGTGACCATATATAGCAGAATGTAGCACTCAGTTTGAGAGTGAAAAACATGAGTTGAAACAACTGTGCTAACAACCAAAGAACAGCGAATGCTAGAAATTGAAACAAAAACTCAACAGGTCTGACAGTGTCTGTGGAGAGAAATCAGAGCTAACGTTCAGGACCAATGACCCTTCTTCAGAACTGATTGTAGCTGGGAATAGATTGGTATATATGCTGAAGATGGGGAAGCGGGGAGAAGGGACGAGTAAACAATAGGTGAAGATGGAGCCCAGAAAGAGAGCAAAACAGTTAGGCAGCCAAAGGAATGGGTAAATGTCAGCGTGGGAAAATTCAATAGCTGCTATTAGGGACCATTAGTGGCTGACAGTTTGTTGTTTGTGGTAGATAACAAAGTGTGGAGCTGGAGGAACACAGCAGGCCAGGCAGCATCAGAGGAGCAGGAAAGCTGACATTTCGGGTCAGGACCCTTCTTCAAAAAACTTCAGAAAACCCCTTGTTGTTGGTGGTAGCAGCCCTTGTGATGACAAGGCCTGGTTTGTGGGGGTTGAAGTTAGGACATGGGAGAAGGTGCTCAAGTCCTAAAGTTCCACCTACCCCACAAAAAGGCAGGCATAACTGAGGCCCATGCGGGTACCTATGGCCACTCCTTCGGCCTGAAGAAGGTGGGAAGAGTTAAAGGAGAATTTTTATTTACACACAGCATGATGCAGCCAACTACAAAAGGTAACAACATTATCTCTCGCCAGGCATTACTCAGTGTTTAGTGCTTCTTTAATTTCCCTCACTTTCTAATTATTCCTGTCTATTGTGGGGTACATGGAACACTCCTAGTTCCATTCCTACCCCAGCCCCCACCCACAACTCTTTCTCTGGTACATCAATGACATCGTCAGTGCTGCTTCCTGCATTCATCCAGGATTGGAGAGATTTATCAGTTTTGCTTCCAGTTTCCACCCTGCTCTCACCTTCACCTGGTCCATCTCTGACTCCTCCCTTCCCTTCATCAACATCTCTGTTTCCGGGAATAGGCTGACCACCAATATTCATCACACACACACTGACTCCCAAGGTTACTTCCCACCCCCTCTTTAGCATTTATGCTGACCTTTTCCTAGCTACAATCAGTTCTACAGAAGAGTCACTGGACCCAAAACATTAACTCTGCTTTCTCTCCGCAAATGCTGTCAGATCTGCTGAGTTTTCCAGCAATTTCATTTTTGTGCTAAACTTTAATATGGATAATTACAAAGGAATGAGATCAGAGGTAGCTGGAGTTGATTGGAAGAGGAGATTAACAGAATTGATGGTTAAAGAACTTTGGCAGACAGTTAAGAAATAGTTCATGACTCACAACAAAGATATTTTCCAGTGAGGAAGGAGAATAAACAGACCATGGTTATCCAGGGAAGTTAAGGGTAGTATCATATTGAAAGAAAATAATAAAGAGAGAGAAAGTAAACTTGGAAGATAAACTAGCAAATAATATCAAGATCGACAGTAAGAGCCTTTTAAAATACATAAAAAGGAAAGGAGAAGCCAAAGTGAGCATTGCCCTTAGAGAATGAGGCTGTAGGAATAAAAAGGGGGAATGAGGAAATGTCAGAGGAGTTGAATGAATACATAGTGTCAGTGGTCACGATAGAGAACATGAATAGCATTCCACAAATAACTAAGGATCGGGGAGAAGAAATAAATACAATAAGTGCCATAATAGAGCAAAAATACTAGGGAAACTAATGGGCCTAAAGGCCAATATGTCTTCTGGACCTGATGGCTGCACAATAAGATATTAATGGAATTAATACAGAGATAGTGGATGGCAGGTAGTAATCTATTAATCCTTAGATTCTGGTAAAGTCCCTGACAACTGGAAAACTGTCAATGGGAAACCCTCATTCAAGAAGGGAAGGAAACAAAAAGAAATGATAGGCTAGTTAGCTTAACATTTGTCATTGGGAAATGTTAGCATGTATTATAAAGGATATAATAGCAGAATATTTAGAAAAAGATGATATAACCAAGCAGGGTCAGCAGACTTCATGAAGAGGAAATGATGCCTGACAAGTTTATGAGAATATGAACAAGCAGGGTAGATAAAGAGGAACCGGTTGATGTAATATATTTGGATTTCCGAAAAGCGATAAGGTATGACATGTAAGGCTTTGATATAAAATAAGGGACTATGATAATAGCAGTGCCATACAAGCATGATTAGAGGATTGACTAACTAATATGGAGAGTTGGGATAAGGGGTGCATTTTTTAGTGTGGCAACCTGTAAGTACTCAAGTCCCACAGGGATCAGTGGTGGCCTCACAATTGTCTACAACTCTACGCTTGTGAAAAAGCAACAATGAAGGAATGGTGATACATTTTCAAATCAGGATGATGTTTGAGTTAGAGATTGTGATTTTCCCATTGACCTTCTGCCACTGTCCTTCTAGGTTGTAGAGGTCACAGGTTTGGGAAAATGAAATCCTCTTAGTTTGCAGCTGAAATACTGAGTTGTGAATAATTATTCAAATTACCCAAACTAATAAACAGAATGCTGTAAGATTAACACTATCTCTAAACCAATTATAAGTGCTGTAAATCTGAAGACAAAAATAAGTGTTTTCCCACTTCCAACTGCCTCATTCCTCTCCTCTGGTGAACCTCCTATCACAGTCAGTTATGAGCTTTGGTTATTAGTCATTGTGGTATATTATGTGTGTTTGGAACCGTTAGCAAATATCCACAAGAATTATTCTTTTTCCTTTTGTTTGCAGCAGTGAGGAGGCTAAAAGGTAACAATTTTCAATGTGCAGAGATTATTGCATGCTAATTGCTTATTTCATAGCAATTGGGGCCAAGTTTGCAAAATGTACATATTGGATATTAAATATTCAATGTTAACTCCTGAGAGGAAGTTATGCAGATTTTGTTCATCACTTTTTTCCTTTACCTGGTAGATTTGAGTCTTCTAAGCCAGTGCTGCTTTGGGCCAGGTTTGTGGAGCCCAATTATAGTTGTGGGTTGTACCAAATCATTAATTTTCTTTCAGATCCAATTAGTTAATATTTTAGGTATAGTACCTGTATATCCATATTTGTGGATGCAGGTCCTTGAGCCTACTTCTCAGTCATTCTCCAGGGTTCTAATGTCCTGTGGTTTCACTTACAGAGTCATAGAGATATACAGCACGGAAACAGTCCCTTCGGTCTAGCTCATCCATGCCAACCAGATATCCTATATAAATATAGACCCATTTGCCAGCATTTGGCCCATATTCCTCTAAACCCTTCCTATTCATATACCCATCCAGATGCCTTTTAAACGTTTTAATCGTACCAGCCTCCACCACTTCCTCTGCCAGCTCATTCCACACACCAAACTCTGCGTGAAAAAGTTGCCCCTTACGTCCCTTTTATATCTTTCCCTCTCACCTTAAACCTATGCCCTCTAGTTTTGGACTTCCCACCCCAGGGAAAAGACCTTACCTATTCACACTATTAATGCCCTATCGAGATTTTATAAACCTCTATAAGGTCTCCCCTCGGCCTCCGAAACTCTGAGGAAAACAAACCCAGTCTATTCAGCCTTTGCTCACAGCTAAAACCCTCCAACCCTGACAACATTCTTACAAATCTTTTCTGAAGCCTTTCTAGTTTCACAACATCGTTCCTATAGGAGGAAGACCATAATTGCAGGCAGTACTCCAAAAGTGGTCGAACTAATGTTCTATTCGGCTACAACATGACCTCCCAACTCCTATGCTCAATACATTGACCAGTAAACACGAGCATACCACAAGGACTTTCAAAAGTTGATTGGGGGTGGATGTTTGCAGGTAAAGGGACGGCTCAAAAATGGGAAGCATTCAAAAATGAGATAACGAGAGTCTAGAGACAGTATGTTCTTGTTATGGTGAAGGGCAAGGCTGGTAGCTGTAGGGAATGCTGAATGACTGGAGAAATTGAGGTTTTGGTCAAGAAAAAGAAGGAAGCAAATATCAGGCATAGACAGCAGGGATTGAGTTAATCCCTAGAAGAGTACAAAGGCGGTAGGAGTATACTTAAAAGGGGAATCAGAAGGGCAAAAAGAGGACATGAAATAGTTTTGGCAAATAGAGATAAGGAGAATCCAAAGGGATTCTACAAATACGTTAAGAACAAAAGGGTAACAAGGGAGAGAATGAGGCTCCTTAAAGATTAGCAAGGCCACCCAAGTGTGGAACTGCAGTAGATGAGGGAGATAGTAAACGAGTATTTTGCATCAGTGTTTACTGTGAAGAAGGATATGGAAGATAGAAAATGTGGGAAATAAATAGCAACATCTTGAAAAATGTCCATATTATAGAGGAGGAGGTGCTGAATTTCTTAAAATGCATAAAGGTGGATAAATTCCTGGGACCTGATCAGGTGTACCCTAGAACTTGGTGGGAAGCGAGGGAAGAGATTAGCCATTTATTTTGGATGTTTATGCATGTTTTGTTGGAAATCTTCAGAGACTAGGAGAGTCTGTCACTTTTCAATGCTTCATGTTATCAAATATCAGCATTATTTCACAGAATCCTTCCTCTGCTCATCTGCAGAGATCTCGCCTCCTGTTCTTACTATTCTGATTTTAAATGTTGTTGTTTCGCAATATGTTAGAAATCCCATTGTTTTTTTCCCTTTTAGTCCAAATGGAAGTGTAGTGTTTGGAACGAGGCCAGTTAGATCAAGTTAATTAAAAGATCCTTGATTGGGGTTGCTAACCTACTCCAATCAGGGACCCCTGGCTGATAGATATAAGCAGGAGACTCAGAGAGTTTCTTCATTCTCGAGACTGGCTCTGAAATGACTGATCAGAGCCCATGTACTGCCCACATGTGGAAAAAGGGTGACTTGGTGACAGGATACCGGCCTCTGTGCAGTTATTTAAGAAGCAATAACAGTGATGAAGAGTCAGACTGAAAGTAGTTCCTAAAAGCTAAACAATGGGGTAGGACAAACAGGGATAGGAGGAAAGTACAAGAGCAATGCTCGGGCATTTGAGCAGGCAGAAGTCCTGAAGTTGGGCACTTAGGCAAAAGGAAGACCCAGCAATCATAGAATCAGGTACATTTTGGATCAAATGCCCCATTTCTGCTGGCATTCCGGCCCAGAAAAGGTGCAGGCCATAATGCCAGTATTGCTACTTCGTGTCAACTTTCAGGTGACACAGACACATTTATTTAGTCCTGTGGGTGAGGACCTAATGAACATGCGTATATGCTGCCACATGTGTACCTTCAGGGCCTCTCTGCCCGTCCTGTGATTGGAAATTATTGATGAAAAATAGGGGAGGGTTCATCAAAGCTTCTGGTTTTTAAAAGCAAGTTACCTTATCTTTGGGAGATCATGCTGATCCACTACCCGTACCTCGTGATAAATCCAATTGCACATTTCAGTTGTGGTGGGGGACTGGCATTAGAATGGGGGAATGTGTGCAGGAAGGAGAGGGAGAGGGTTGGAGAGATGGAATGGCATCCATATGTCTCATATTTCTTTATGTTTTCATGACCTAATTGGGAAGAGTGCACTGATGTTCATGCCGCACTGTCCAAAAGCTGCCAAAAAATGTATGAAACCCCAATTAGGCCACCAGATGACTGATTTGCCTGACTGATTGTTATTCATGACAAAAGCAATTCACATAATGTTTCATCATTAACAAAAAGTAACACAATTTATTGTAACAAGCATAACTTTGGAGAAATGAGAGGATCCCTACTCAACTACAATGCAACATAAACGATAGACATTTTAAAAACCCGACATAAATGCATGTTCGTTCATAATTAATACAGACAAAAGGCGAACATCTTAATAGTGATGTTATAGGTGGAAAAAATATATAGATAGGGAACAAAATTATAAGGATCAAAAGTCAGATCATGAGAGTGGGTTAAATTGTCGTTGGCAGTTTCTTTTGATTTTAGTAATGATTATGCATAAAGCATGCCTGTAAAGCAATGGTCATTCTTCACTTCGATAATTGATCCAGTGGAATGAGTTTTTTTTCTTACAAAAGAATTAAACTTTTGTGGTTTTCCTTTTTTTCACCCAAAAGGGCAGGGGTGGTGGGGGTGTTTGGGGGGGCTTGGGGTGGTTGGCAGTGTGGAGAGAGCCAGAGAGAGAGAGAGAGAGTGAGAGACAGGTTGAAGAGACAGAGATGTGTTCCATTTGCAGGCTCTGGCTGACTCTGACTGACCTAAACTTCCAGCTATGTAAGAAAATGCAGTTCAACTAATCTAAAGGTAGCCATTATTCAATCTTTCCTTAATTCAAAAATTCTCCATGCCATTTTGTCTCAAAGTAACAATCTCACTTCTTCAAAAAGCAACATTGTCTTGAAACAACTAAAAATGTGCCCCATTTTATATTCCAAATTCTCCTGTTATTTCAGTTATATTGTAGTATAACTTCCAATTCAGTTTATAGTCCAAAAAGTAAAAATATGCATCAACTTCCATTGATATTGATTTGGCCAGGTCAAGGAAGTTTTCAATTCCAATACAAACTCCAGCCCTACCACATTGCTGTCATTAGCTTTGTAAAGTAAAATGTCCAATGGAACCTTCTAGAGACTTCAGAAATGTGGTCTATTTGACTTAATGCTTCTTTTTGCTAAGGTCTGTCAGACAAATGCTAGTGCTAAGGAATTCACGAGGAATTTCCAAGTCTCATTATCCAATGAAGTGCTGGCGTTTGAACAAAATTATTAGAAGACTGCTGGTCTATAGTAATAGATTCTTTGAAAGACACATCTCTCCAGAGCTTGGAAAAAATGTAGAATCTGAAATGTTATTGGGTAATGAAGTCATAATTAAATACTTTGTTGACGCACTGGAGAACATTGAGAGATCTGTGGGAACCATACCTGAATCAATTCGTGAATATATTTTTCAGTACTATTATATGATCAAATGATTGCTAAATATCTAACTTGTTCTATTATTTTGCTCTTCAGTGTCTTCAGTTGGCTAGCAAAAGGTCTTGGGAATGTTGTGCCACAGCCAGTCATCAAATCCCAATTAATAAAGGAGGTATGTCCTAAATGAAAACATTGGTTAAGAAGCGTGTCAGGTTGCTAAGTCAGAAAACAGAGATCACAACAGAAGACCTGGTCAGCAAATGGTTGATGATTTGACAAACATAAGCCCTATTACAGCCTTGATTCAGACACAGGCACAATAACTGAATTTGAGAAGGGTTCCTGGACTCGAAACATTAACTCTGATTTTTCTCCATAGACACTGCCAGACCTGCTGAGCTTTTCCAGCAATTTCTGTTTTTGTAGCTGAGTTTCAGAGGTGAGGTGAGAGTATCAAGCCCTATATATCAAGGCAACATTCAACTGAATGGTCCAATCAAACTAGTAAATTAAAATTAGTAAGGATCAGGAGAAACTCTTAACTTGCTGGACACCCTAGTGCAAAGGAAGATAGATTTAGTTGTTGGAGGCTAGTCATTTCAGTTGAAAGAGTATCTCAGAACAGCAACTTGTGCCCAAACACCTAATCTCACTGTCCTTTGGGTCAACATGATCAAAAACTCAAGTGGACCAATTGTGTAACTATCATTGCTACTAGGACAGGTTAGAAGCTGGGAATTTTTAAAAATTAATTCGGGGATGTGGGCTTCATTGGATGAGCCTTCAGTTATTTCTCATTCTTCAGCCACTAAGTGAAATGCCTTTTTGAACTGCTGCAGTAAATAGATCCACAGTGCTGTTAGGGAGGGAACTCCTGGATTTTAACCAAGGACAGTGCAGCATTCGGAGCACATAGCTAACCTCCAGACTCATGAAGATCTCTGTTGCATCATCAAGGCACAAGTCAGGAATATGATGAAATACCCATCACTTCCCAGGATGAATGCTGTTGTAGCACCCCTCCTGAAGTTTAATACTATAAAGGGAAAAAACACCCCTCCAACAGCTCAATATGCACTGAAGGTCATAAACCTTCCACTGTGGGCCAGAATGAACAGGAATATTGTTTTGTATCACACCAAGTAAGTTGTAGCCCTCGCTACCTTGAAATCCTCTTTCCTTTCCCTTCTGCAAGATTGTGCTGAAAATTCTTCCCTATGACCCTGAACCTTCACTCCCACCTGCTGGTCAGCCTTTTCAAATGGTCAACTGACCAACAACACTGAAATGAGGTCCAGGAGATAAAATAGCTTGGCCCTTAAACTTAGACCAGCAAGTGCATTTTGATCTTGGCCTTCTAAACCTTCTTGACCTTGGCTTCCTAAACTCACCAGTGGTTAAAGCCAAATCCATAAATGAATGGATACCTTGAAGTTCATGCTGTAACATTTCTCTGAAGTGTGTTTCTCATCCCTCTGTTTTCTAGAATGACAGGACTACAGCTGCATGCCATGCAGAGGAAAGTGAGTACAATATTCTCTGAATCCTTTTTTCATTGATTTACGAATGGTCAAATAATTTCAGAAAAAAGAAGTGCAAAACACAGAGCAGGTCTCAGGTAAGTAGAAATTTAACTTGTGTAGTAGTGGAACTCTGCCAAGGCATAAAGTGGACGGCTGAGCTGCAGGATTGTGCTAGGAACATGAACTATGGAAGAGGTCACTGACTTGCAGGATTTTGAGATTTAGGGCAATGACTAGGGATGGAAAGGATGTATTTCTCTTTTGTTAGTCTCTTGAAGCAGAGAAGAGAGTTGCCATGGAATACAGCCCCGGGTCTTTCAAAGTAGGGAGGCTGTTGCACTGCAGCTACCACATGTGATTCTCTTTTTTTTCTCCATTCATTTGTGGGACGTGGGCATCACTGGCTGGCCAGCATTTCTTGCCCATCCCTAGTTGCCCTTGTGAGCTGCCTTCTTGAACCGCTGCAGTCCTCCTGCTGTGGGTTGACCCACAATGCTATTAGGGAGGGAATTCCAGGATTTTGACCCAGCGACAGTGAAGGAATAGCAATATATTTTCAAGTTAGGATGGTGAGTGGCTTGGAGGTGAACTTGGAGGTGCTGGTGTTCCCATATGTCTGCTATTCCTGTCCTTCTAGATGGGAGTGGTTGTGGGTTTGGAAGGTGCTGTCTGAGGATCTTTGGTGAATTTCTGCAGTGCATCTTGTTGATAGTACACACTGCTGCTACTGAGTGTTGGTGGTGGAGGGAGTGGATGTAGTGTCAATGAAGCGGGCTGCTTTGTCCTGGATGGTGTCAAGCTTCTTGAGTGTTGTTAGGGCTGCCCTCATCCAGGCAAGTGGGGAGTATTCCATCACACTCCTGACTTGTGCCTTGTAGATGGTAGACAGGCTTTGGGGAATCAGGACGTGAGTTACTCGTTGTAGTATTCCTAGCTTCTGGCCTGCTCTTGTAGCCACTGTGTTTTTGTGGTCAGTTCAGTTGATTTTCTGGTCAATGATAATGCCCAGGATGTTGATAGTGGCGGATTCAGTGCTGGTAATACCATTGAATGTCAAGGGGTGGTGGTTAGATTGTCTCTTATTGGTGATGGTCATAGCCTGGCATTTGTGTGGCGTGAATATCACTTGACACTTGTCAGCCCAAACCTGGATATTGTCCAGATCTCGTTGCATTTGACTGGGAGACTGGGAGAACCAGGAGGCTCCTCTGTTATTTACCCTACCATAGCATATTGGAGAGTTTTGCAGGTTTCATTATGACCACACCTTCCATGTCCAGTGAGATCCGGAGTGGGACTTGAAGCTGGAGCTTCTGAAAAAGAGATAGGGGACTACCCATTGTGTCAAAAGACTCCCGGGAGGTGGATCACAGTTGGGAGGTGTAGGGCATTTCTTTCGGGAAAAAGGACAAGAGCAATGAAGAGATTCTTCCCATCCTCTTCAAAAGAAAAGCCAATGCAAATACTAAATGGTATCATTTTTAAAAATGCATTCATGGAAAGTTGGTATTGCTGATAAAACCAGCATTTTATTGCCCTTGAGAAAGAATTGGAGACTGAATTACTTACATTCTCAAGAATAACTCAGTTGTTTATTAGAACTAGCCAATCATCTTGTGGTAGAGTTAACAAACCAGAATTGACAGATCATAAATGAGCCTATCCAATCAATGTCATCATGTTAAAAAAGGGGAGTTTGAATGTAACCAATTAAGGTGTATGTTTCCATGGCCATGCAATGGAACAGGATCCTGACACAAAAGGGTGAACGTAACCATATCTATTACCATTTCAGCTGTGCATATGAATAGATTTTACATTCTTTATGATGCAGTGTTGTAATGGCATATACATTTATTGTTAATATAAGTTACTCATGTACTTGTAAAGAATGATTTTTAAACATTGTATTCCAAATATTTTTGCCATAGAATTTTTTTTATTTTCAAAGCAATCTAAAAATCAATGTTACTGGCCAAGACACGAGGATCATGTATAGAGTAAAGCACACTGTCCCAGAGGGATGCTTAATGTTGTACTGGTATGACATTACATACTTCTTTCTCACAGCAGCTAACCTTATTACGCTAAATGTGAGTGTCAATGCAATAGCAAATTTGTCTGGTTCTAAACTGCAAGCCCACATCTAAAAGGAGCTGATTCAGCTCATTTCAGATTGGGTACAGAGCGGAGAAGGAATGACAACTTTTCTTCATTAGGTGGATTGGATTCGGATCAGATGCTGGGGATGAAAGGATAATGTTTCAACCCATGATGTCACATAATTCACTAGCGTTAGAAAATCTTTGGTTTAGTCTTTATTCAAATAAAACAACTGAAAGTCACTCTCAGTGAAATCAAAGGACATGCAAACAACATATCTGAACACAGTCGTTTAGTAAATAATTCAATTACACTGCAAAGCTGTTTTGGAAATTAACCTTCTCCCACAGAAGCTGTTCACTCAAAGTGTTATAATCCAGTCAGGCCACTAGATGGTGCGCAGTCCACCTGACAATATACTACGCTGGTTCGATAACTTTCGAGTTGATTCTGTCCTAATAGCCTGATTTATTTTCCACTGAATATGCACAATAACACCAATAAACCCAAACGTAGAATATTTGAATGATACAATGCTGAGCTAGATCTAAAAGCTTGGCTGAGGATTCCAAAGGTTTGGGAGAGTCAGGATCTTAAACAGTAATTCTTGACTAGCTACTCAGCTTACTGTGCATCTGGAGATTGTTGATACCTAGAAAATTAGACAAGTTGATATGACATTGTCTCAAAAGACTGCAAGGAATTGAAGTCTTAATTTTCCGTAACTTGTGCCTAGATCTATGTTAATTTTGCGTTGTAACTAAGTGTTCTATACTTTGACAGTCTTTAACTGCTTCATTGAGGGTTTGCTGTGTTACTGTCTCTAAGATCTGGGTTCAATTGCACTGAAGTTGTAAATTTCTTTTTTCCTCTGACTTCAACTTGAGGTTTCAGAGTTTTAACATGAATGTGATTGTGCCAATCTTAAACCATTTTCTAGTAGATATATTTGATTTGATTTATTACTGTCATGTATACACAGGTGCAGTAAAGGCGTTGTCTTACATGCTTTACAGGCAGATTGTACTATACAAGTCCATCAGGGTAACAGAACAGAGTGCAGAATAAAATGTTACAGCTGCCAAGAAGGTACAGAGAGACTTAGAAAAAATTGAGTTTTAAAAGAGCAGAACGATTATAACATTGTAAGAATAAGATCTGCTGTAGACAGCTCACAAAGAGTCACCAAATTCTGGCACCCTCTTGGAACCTCCCCCGGAAAAAACAAATGATAGTTTTTGTCACATATTGGTCATTCAAATAAGTCAGAAGGCTGGCTACTCTCGAAAGTGGAAAAATTCACACTGGAGTCAGGGTTGTGGTGATAAGACTGAGTAATGATAAATGATCTTGAATCTGACTTGGGTTGATGGGCCTTCAAAGAAGGCAATTCAGTCTGCACCTAACAATGGGAAATGCTGAAAGGCACACAGTAGAGGACTTTTATTCTGTACCCAGATTGTTTCACTGGTTACTTAGAAGTAGCAGTTTCTAAATTTGAAGGCAAATTTTAACTGTAGTGAATATTTAGCATTTTACTTACAAATGGAGCCCTTAATATTTGGTTGGTAGGATCAGAGAATGATTAAGGACCATCTTGGAGGCAAGGATATAAAGTATAGGAAAGAAATTAGCTCCAGAAGCAGCACATTATTGTTTTGCCTAATCCATGTCTTCTTCTCCTTTGTTTCAGGAGGGAAGCTGGTTCTGGTCTCTGAAACAAATGGAAAATGAAGACAATGGAAAGATGTCAATGTATAGAGTTCGAATCCTGCCTATAATTATTCCAATTCTTATCAGTGGGGACAGAAAGCACAGATTAATCTGAGATAAGATACTTATTGTAGGGCAGTGACTCACTTAATCTGTGGGTCACAGAGGCGGTATACAAGAGTTACACGGACCAGTGGAGGGTAAATCCTCAGCAGCAACATCTAGTTTCCATTCATGCACAAATTCAGTTACGTACGTTTCTTCAAAGACAATGTCTGTAAATGTTTTTCTGAGTTTTACTGAAAAAATAATCAAATCCAAATATAAGTAAATCAATCCACTTGAGTGTAAAATCTATTCTTAGAATTCATGTATGCAGTTGGCTACTGAAATGTATTATATGTATTGTACATTATACATTCCTTCAGTCTGACGAATTCCTATGTAATTGTGCACTACCTTCCTCCCTCAATGTAAAATGCATCTGTTTGTCAATCTGTCAGTCTGTGCTACTTGTCTGTGTGATTACCTCATGCTCAGAGGAATTGATATAATGTAATGAACTTCAGTCAGAGAGATGTCTGACAGAATGACTGACTCAACTAAAGCCAATGAGAACAGAAGGAAACCTCTTCGCCGGTTGTAGTCATACCTGGCTCAAAGAAAGATGGTTATTAGAGGTCACTTATAGATGCATAGAAAATAGAAGCAGGATTAGGCCATTCAGCCCTTCAAATTTGTTCTGCCATTCAATATATTCATAGCTGATCATCCAACTCAGAAATCTGTTTTCACTTTCTCCCCGTACCCTTGATCTCTTTAGCCCCAAGAACTGTTTCTTTAAGAGATTCACAGTTTAGAATGGTACAAGACATTGGTGAGGCCACTACATACAATTTTGGTCACCCATCTATAGGAAGGTTGTTGTTAAACTTGAGAGGGTACAGAAAAGACTTACAAGGTTGCTGCTGGAACTGGAGGATTTGAGTTACAGGGAGAAGCTGAATAGGCTGGGGCTTCTTTCCAGGAGCGTCGGTGATCTTATAGACGTTCATAAAATCATAAGCGGCATGGATAGCCAAAATCTTATTCAAATGTCCTGTACAATTGCAGCAAGATGTCCTTGCTCCTGTAATCAAATTCTCTCATTATGAAAGCCAACATACCAGTTGCCTTATTCAATG